AAGAAAATAAAACATGAAGAAGGAGAAGAAAATAAGAATAATCATTTTTTTATTATTCACTAAGAACAATATACGAAAACAAAAACAGGAAAAGAAAGAAAAAAAGAAAATAAAAGAAAAAATAGAAGTAGAAAAAAGAAGAAAGATGAAGAAAGTTATCCGATTAGGTTACTTAATTTTTTTTTCCAAACTAAAAAAAAATATTGTTTACTAAGAAAAGATGAAGAAAAAAAGCATAATAATTTTTTTATTATTCACTAAAAACAATACGAAAAAAACAGTAACGGTTGGTACAAAAAAAATCACTAAATTATGTCAGAAGTGTGATAATCACAGCCAGCTTGACCCAGACATGTGAATTAATCACCGCCTGTATTTTTTCCATATAAACCGAAAACTAAATCATTTTTTTATTATTCATCGAGGAAAAATTCGAAAAAAAACCCGTCCTCGTTTAAATATGCGTCGAAATGAATAATTCCCAGTGTTGCCAATTGCGTAGTCGACCAACGATAAATGTATCAATAATTTCGACTTGTTAGAGAAAGGTGCACCCTCCCTCCTGACTTTCTCCCCGTGAAAGTAGTATCCTATTGTCGCCCCGCATCGGATGCACTTCTCTAGCATTAAAAATTTACAGTTAAACGACTTGAAACTATGACAAAAGAGTCGTTCAAGTAAAACGACCCTCTTTCGACTTTCATCGTTAATAAATGCGACCGTTTATCGAATCGTTTATGGTAATTAATTGATAGACGGGCCCCAAGGGGCGCCCGCCTCGAATAACATCGCTATTGCCCAATTAGAAAGGTCGATGGACTTGGGTTTTAGTTTTTGGAATTCTGATTTCTGACTTATGTTGGTAAAATGTGGCTATTAGGTTGGCACTATTGATGAAAAACCCCAAAAAACACTATAAAATTTGTTCCAGTTTTGGCATTTCTGGTCAAAACACTTAAAAGTCCGTAAGTTAATTAAAACTACATTTTTTGTGTTGGTAACATAGCCAACAAAAATTCCCCCAGAAAAATAATTGTTTTAAAAATCCCAGTTTTTCAAATTTTTTACAATTTTTATTCAAGGTTGTCAACTATTTCAAATAAAGTCCCTAGAATTAATTGTTTTTACAAAAATTTTTGATTTTTGAGTAAATTATTGTTGTAAAAGTCCCTAAATTAAAATTCCTTTTCTTTGTGTTGGTAGCACCCAACAAAAAATAACTGTGTTAAAATTGATTTAAAAAATCAAATTCAAAAAACTAGGAAGTTACCATAGATATACAATTTTTTTCAATGTTGCCAATTGTCATTAAAAAACGAAAAACGTAGTGTTTTTTCAAAAAAAAATTGCTTTTTGACTAAATTATTGCTATTTTTTGGACCCAACTTAATAAGAATAAGAATAATATTTTTTTTATTATTCACTAAGAACAATACAAAAAAACAGGCAAAAAAAGATGAAAAAAATAAAAGAAGAAATAGAAGTAGAAAACAAAAAAAAAGATGAAGAAAGTTACCA